CAGAACATGAGTGGTTTATTTTGCAGATGCTGTTATGTACTGTACACTTTCACTGATCAGCCACAACATTAAAACCACCCGCCCAATATTGAATAGGTACAACTCGTGCTGCCAAAACAGCTCTGATGCGGAAAGGCATGGACTCCACAAGACCTCTGAACATGTCCTGTAGTATCTGGCAACTAGATATTAGCAGCAGATCATTTAGGTTTGCAACTTGCAAGGTGTGGCCTGGCCTCCATGGATCGTATTTGTTGGTCCAACACATCCCACAGATGCTCAATCAGATTAGGCCACGGCAACACCTTGAACTCTTTGTCATGTTCCTCAAACCATTCCTGAACAATTTTTGCAGTGTGTCATGGAGCATTATCCTGCTGAATGAGGCCACTGCCATCAGGGAACACCATTGCCATGAAGGGGTGTATGTGGTCTGCAGAGGTGTAAAGAGTACCTAAAAACCATACTTGATTAAAAGTACAGATATCTTACAGTGAAAATTACTCCACTACACGTTACAAGTCACCAATTCCAAAAACAGCTTGAGGAAAAGTCGTAAGAGTATCTGATTTTAACAGTACTTAAGCATTTTACTTATACTAAATATAGGATCAAAAAATGCACTAGTCAAAGATACATGCCAGTGAAAAACTGTAATGTTGTTGAACAAATGGACTACAAACTGACTACTAACACCACGGGAGACAGGAAGTGACATAAAAGTCCAGGGCAAGGCACAGAGAGCATGAAACAAAAACAAGAAAGAGTTGATTTGTGAGGAGAGCAATCAAAATATATGTTCTAAAACCAAAATAAAACTGAACACCTCAAAATTACATAAAAACAATATCCTTCAAAAAGGTCTCTTCAGTGTAATGGATAAATAAAATAATGTATAATAAATAATATAATAAAGTAAAATTAAAAAGCCAAAGCCTTCTTGCACTGGCTGTGCTGGTTTGAGCCTCATTGCCGGCTGCAGTCTTGTCCTCATCTCATATATAAAACACCTGTGATTCACAAATACTTGCTAAGGAACTCGCATTCACATAAAGTAGCCTTGTTGAAAAGTTTGGGTGAGTAAGGGCAAAACGCACAAGATGCAGCACTATCAGTGACCTGTAATAGGCAGTATCACGTCTTTTGTAGCAGAAATAAACTGCTGCAGAAAAAGCTAGGTCCATGCAAAATGTAATGTGTAACTGCAACACTCATTTCAAATGTAGTGGAGTAAAGAGTACAGATACTCATTCAAAAATGTAGTGAAGTAGAGAGTAAAAGTTGCTAATATCTTTACACACATGCTCCTGGCCATCCATCTGATCTGAAACGTGATTCATCAAACCATGCAACCTTCTTCCAGTGCTCCATGGTCCAGTTATGTCGCTCACTTGCCCATTGTAGGTACTTTCGGCAGTGGACAGGGGTCATCATGGGCACTCTGACCAGTCTATGGCTATGCAGTCCCATAAGCAGTAAATTATTATGCACTGTGTGTTCTGACTGCTTTTGTATTATGGCCAGCAATAGGTTTTTCAGGAATTTGAGGTACAATGGCTCTTCTGTGTGAACGGACCAGACAGGCTTGCCTTCGCTCCCCATGTGCATCAGTGAGCCTTGGGCACCCATGACCCTGACACTGGTTCACCAGTTGTCCTTCCTTGCACTACTTTTGATAGGTAATAGTAACAACTGCATACCAGGAACACCCCAAAAGACTTGCCGGTTTGATAATGCTCTGACCCAGTCGTCTAGCTATCATTTTTTGGCCCAAGTCACACAATTTTGCTTACCCATTTTTCCTGCTTCCAACTCATAAAATTCAAGAACTGACTGTTCACTTGTGGCCTAATGTATAATCACACCCATTGATAGGTGCCACTGTAACAATATAATCAATGTTTATTTACTTAACCTGTCAGTGGTTTTAATGTTGTGGCTGATCAGTGTACTACAGTCTCAGTCCTCCAGGAGCAACCTGGAGTTCAGTGTCTTGATCAAGGGCATAATGGAAATTATCCTTACAGTGCTCAAACCTGCAAACTTGATTACCAACTCTCAAAAGTGTGTTCTTAAAATATTACATATATATATAAAAAAGAACAGATATGTGTGAGTGCATGTGTCTTTAAAGTGAGGCTTTGTCTAGACAGTATGATGACAGGAAAGTTAGTCTGTTAACCGACCCCACACAGACTCACGCACAGGTCATTCATCACGCTACTGACAGCCGATTAGCAACTGACCCTTGAAGAATGGATGAGTTCAAACATGAATGCTGCACGTTTGCATTCCTTAATGCTGCACTTTCCTCTCATCCTTTCTGTGATCGTACCCCCTGAAATGAATGTGCCACTTTTTGATCATTTCAAGTCAACTTCTTACAGCCATTTATTTTAAAGTGACCATGAAAACAAACAACTACCACGGCATCTTGCTGTTGCAGATGGTGCAATGGAATGTATGAAATGACGTGCTGTATGCACATTTTGTCTTATGGCTGTGTGCAAGTGTGTGTTTAACTCTTTCAGCTATCATTTGAAATGCATTTGCAGAGGAATGCTCAGCTTTTATCTTGTCACTGTCTGTTTCCTTTCACTGTCTGAGATTATTTCTGTTTTAAAGGACTAGTTGACTCAAGAATGAAAATTATGTTATTATTAATTTTATGTTCCTCCAAACCTCTATGTTTTTTTTTTTTAAGATTCTTAAAAAATAGCCAGTGCTTTTCCACAAAAGGGCAGTTCGTGGTGATCCAATATGTAAGGGAATAATACAGGTTATTTTAAAACATTAAAAGTTAAAACAACAACATCTGTGGTGTTATGTTGATTATCACACACACACACACACACACACACACACACACACAAGGGTTATGTTGAGGCACTTACAAGCATATGGAACCATTTTTTGGAAGAAGTAATAGCAATGTAAAACATTTAATATAAGTTGTTCTTGTCATTTTTACACTCATATGAGCTTACACTCATTCTTGTGTCAATTAAGTTTTAAAAGTTTATATCAATTTATACAGAAGCTATTTTTCACACTGTCACACTAACAAGCATATGTTTTACATATTATGCCTATATACTATTGAAACAGTAAGTATTTTAACTTCATTTATTTTTTGTATTTTGTTAAAGAAGAATAAAAATGTTAATTGAACAATTTATATTGAATCCAGAAATGTTATTCATTTCAACATATTTATATAGTATAACTGTATCTGTTGTATCTTATTATTTCAAAAGATTTTGAATATAGTGCACAAATCACATTAACTACTTTTATGGTGCCTTCAGTAGAAATTGAAGTCTATCCAGCTTCTGAAAAATTATATTATTTGTTCAATTTAAATTTAGCAAAAGTGTGTGTACCTGGTATCCCCCCGCTATGAGGACCAACTGTTCCCGCGAAGATGGTGACCTAATTTCTGACCTTGTGGGGACATTTTTTGGTCCCCATTATGAAAACAGCTTATAAATCATACAGAATTATTATTTTTTTTTTTTAAATCTGTAAATGCTGAAAGTTTTGTGTGAGGGGTTTAGGGTATGGGGATAGAAAATACAGCTTGTATAGTATAAAAATCATTATGTCTATGGCATGTCCCCGTAAAACATGGAAACTCAAAGTGTGTGTGTGTGTGTGTGTGTGTGTGTGTGTGTGTTTGAGTGATGGGCTATCAGTGATTGGACTGATGAAGGGACGGGAAGGGGGTGGCTGGCATTGGTTTGCATCGCTTTGATGCATGCTTTTCTGCCCCACTAGATAAGATTAGCCACTTAGAGATAACAACACATGGCCATTTTATCAATCTAGATCTCACCAGACACAACATAGCATGTGAATTTGTGTGTGTGTGTTTTCTGAAATCAGTCTCCATAACATAAACACATGAGCTCTCTCTCTTATTATAGTAAGTTCAGTGAGTTCTCATCTTTAAAGCATTGCACCTGACCCTGACCGCAAACATTAGTTTGCTGTCTATCTGTCTGATGTCTGTAATCTCAAACATCAGAGAACTCCTCTAAAAATACTGGAGAAAAACAGGTGATCAAGATTTTACACAAGATAAAACAATACAGTCAGGTTCAGTATACAGGTTGCGTGACTTGTCAAACATCTACATTTTTCAGAAAAAAATATATATTTACATTTACAATATATATTTTTGTAGTTTTCTTCAGTCTCATGCGGTTATTTTCTGTGTCGTTAGGGGTCACGCTTCGGCCATAAAATGACTCGATTACATAGCGTAAGTTCATTTACGATTTTGTGGTGAAATTTATAGAAAGAAGAAGAGCTGTAATCACTTGGATAATTACCTACAATTCTTATTTAATTTATGGTATTCTTTCACAGGCGAATTTCGGTTTATTGGCCTGCATGCCATGGTGTAGGCGTCTTCAAGCAACAAAACTAGAACGCCTTTGTTAGTCTAGAATGAATCAAACTGTCTACATTCTAATCAATGCATGAAGCTACAATACGGACAGTAAAGTGTCCTACACATAGTTCGCGTTCTGTTGTACACATGCGTGATGCGTTCGGACGTGTTCGGTAGTTGCGTCCTGTAGCTGATTTTAAGACGACATTAAAATAAAAGTAACATTAGAACGCCTCCGCGACAAAACTAGAACGCTTTCGTTTTAATAGACGAACATGAAACGCAACTTCAGCACTTACAATGAATGAAGTTGTATACTGTATGACATTATCATCGACGTGCTATTTTAAGTTGAATACGACCGCGTCGCGTCGCTCGTACGCAAACTGTAGACACCTGACATGAAAGCTGAAATTGTCATCTACATTTATGAAGAAGACACGTAGACGTGTACGTGAAGACGGGTTTGAGGATGTTAAAACTGTCTTGTAAAGCTCCACCTCTGGACGCGAACACTGGGGCGGGCTCGAGACGCGTCTATACCTGCTTCAGCCCCGTTATTTAAAAGCCTCTGAGACAGACTCACAAACACACTCTGTAGGAATCAGAGACTGATGTCAAATCAAAGAACTGAACGGAGAAGATATATAGATCGTAAGGAAATAATTGTTTGGAAAAGTGACGGATATATATATGTTTTTCTTTATTTATTGTTGTGATACCTACACTAAACTTAACAGTTACTTTTGATGGCACGCAGAGAAGTTTCAATCTGTCTTCTGCCTGGAACGAAGCATCACGCCGAAGAATTGATGGAGATTTTGCGAATTGGAAAAACAACCTGAACGACAACTGCATTTGTTTTGCACAGGATAACAGTGTTTTGCAGAGGCAGTTACAACCCAACGGGTTTTTACAACCTGATGCCATAGAATAACCTTTTCAGTAACTTTTTTATTCTGTAGGCTAGTTCTTCAGAAAACCATCTATGCACTAGTGCTTTAAAGAACCCAGAAACCAGCACAGATTTGAAGATTCTATAATGTAATCATGAACCTTTCAGGGAACCATGCAGTCAAAATTGTCCTTAATAAGAAGAGGGTTCTTCGCTGAACCTAAGAACCACTGAAGAACCTAGTTGTAAGATCCTATGGCGTGAAGCAGAAGAGTAGAGGGAAAAACACTGGCTTCCAAGTGGTTTTATATTTAGAAGTGAATACACCCTCATCATCATCATCATCACAGACTGGATGTAAAGATGACAAGCGTCTGGTTTGCTCTGCTGGGCTTCTTGTGGAGCGTTTATTTGGCAGGTAGTAGTTCTGTACTGGACGGATCTGAGCTTCAGCCCAACTTCATGCATCGGAGGTTACGGACTCGGGAGAAGAGAGAGATGCAGAAAGAGATCCTGTCCATACTGGGACTGAACCAAAGACCCAGACCGCATCTGAACAGCGGCAAATATAATTCAGCACCCCTCTTCATGCTGGATCTGTACAACAGCATGTCCACTAAAGAGAAAAGCGACGTGGATCAGTACAGATCACTGTTCACCACCACACGACCCGCTTTAGCTTCACTTCATGACACAGAGTTCCTGCATAACGCGGACATGGTCATGAGTTTTGTCAATTTAGGTAAGATTAACGTTTCCTTTTTTGCTCTTGCATCCATTTTGTTAAAGATTTTGCACAATGAGTTCAGTATCCATACGTATCACACTGCAAACCCTTTTATAAAAACGATAGCACAAGCACTCTTCAAGCAAATATTTCACAAAAATATACAGTAAATGATACAAAGTAGATATTGTATATTGTTTAATAAATGGAGATATAGTATTTGGGCACTTTTATGTTCATAGTTAATGTGAAGAACTACACCTGTGTTTGCTCTGTTAAGACATCTAACACCTGTATGAACTTGAGAACTGACTTCATACAGCCACTAAAAAAACTGTTGTCTAAAAGTTGTTCAAAATGGCTCAGAAAACGGTAGTTTGTTATCTAGTGTGATTACATTTAGTGTGTGACTTTAGTGAACAAATACTCATTTTGAGTTTTTATTTTGAGCAGGATATCTGCTTTGACTATTTAAAGCTGAACAAACATATTTTTGTTGTGCCGTTTTTCTTTTCTTTAAATACAATATGCTTGCTTTTATATTTTGTTATCTAATGCAATGCCATTCACACATTTTTAAGTTGTGGCCTTTGCCTTTTGTAAAACTTTTGCATGCACATGAAATTATTTTATATGAATACATTCTTCTATATTTATCCTAATAGTTTAAATGTATTTTTATGTATTTTTATTCTGCAGCTTGGAGTGCTAATGTTTGATTTAATTTAGATTTTTCTGTGACATTGTTTACTGTAGCTTGTAGGACTGAGGCATTTTAATTTTAGTGTTATAACCAAGAACTTTCGTTGGAGTGCACATTGTATTGTCAAGCACTGTCATGTCTCTTTGAGCTCACTGCGAAAAAATATCATAAATCATATTTTGCTCATATATCGTGGTAATTAAAGTAGCCTACCTCGGAGTACCATGATATGTTCATCTGTACCAGATGACTGATGGTGCTGCCTCAGTAGTTTTTTTGTAAGGTTTTGTTGGATATCGCCCTTCAACACTTTTTTAACTGACATCTATCAAGCTCATAGTGACCTTGAGCACAGTGTCAAACCACGGGTCTGTTCATGCTCAGGGATTCTGTGTGGTTTGCTTAAGTAAACACAGAGCTCATTAATGGAGGGAGCATTCGTGTCCAAAATTCACTTGTTTATGTGAACTTCCCTCTACGAGGGCCAGGAGTTGCCCAATTAAGTTAATTATAACAATACAAACTCTTCTGGCTCTGCTCACTGCAGCTATGGGTCAGTTGCCAGGGATGCTTTTGTGTGAGTTGTGACATTCTAGTTGTTGGCTGGGTTCATTTCAATGCTCATTTGTCTCTGTCAGTCTCTTTTATAAGACAATAAATGTGGTCTTTCTTGATCTGGTAGTGGTATTCTGCAATCAGTTGACGGATATTTGCCATTGACTGACACGATGGCCACATTTTCAGTTATTTTTGGAAATAAGCAGAATTTCGTTTCAACTGACCACCAATTTGTTACCCGAGACAGGCTTGAAGTGGTTTTAACCATTTATTTTTTTGTTTTGTTTTGTTCTAGACTCTTGTAAGGGAAGTCATATAACTTGTTTTATGTGATTTGTCTGTGATTCAAGTGGTGATTCTTCATGGTCATTTACTGCAGTCATCCGTCTAGAACACCTGTGACTCAGCTCCAAATGTAGGAGAAAAAGGAAGCATATTGGCATACAGAAACTGACCAGTGTTGTGACACATCCAGAAATAGCCAGGCTTCTTCTCACAGACATTTGGATAGTCAGTGTATCCTATGTGAATCATCTTATGACTGTAGGAACAGTAGTACAAATTTCCTTTTTATGGTGTGGCTTCATAAGTAGTCAGGATTTCCGCCCTAAAGAGAAACATCACTGGTATGTTGTACACAATTATTACCTGAATATTTAACAAAAGCATTGTCATTGTGACACAAAATGTCAGTTCTGTCACAATTGACTCAAATGTTAATCCTGTATGACTGTTACTTTTGTGGAGCTCAATGTTAGGCAGAATCTTCACAGTGCTCTTTTTCATAGTGAAAGAATTCAAAAATGAAAGCATTATAAAGCATATGACTCATGTAATATATTGGAGGTTTTCTATTTTTAAAATTGATCTGGTCCTTATGTTTCTAGAAAAACTAAATTGTATCCTAATTGACAACGTCACATCATACACATGGAATCATGCTACATGCAGATATTCACTGGAGCCGAACTCTGAATTTGACGGTTTTAAGTTTGAGTGATGTTTTTGACAGATTCAGGTACATTTAGAGTTCTTGATGTTCCTAAGTCTCCCAATTCTTCCTGACCAGTCTTGCTCTGTTTATAGTAGGGTAGAGGATGCCCTAAGCTTTTCTTGGCACAGAAAATGTTGAGGAAACTCCCATCTCTTGTTTGCACTGGTAATATTGTGTATTTGTCTTTTTTCTGGATAAGGGGGGATCTTCCAGTAATCCAGGGAAAATCCATAGGGAAAAAAGCATTCCTGCTTTCTCTCCTTTGGTCCATCATTGCCTTTTTCCACATGGATCTTTTGTGTTCACTCACATTTCCTCCTGTAACTGTCTCATACAAACATATACACATTTCAAACTCATTATTTTCCACAGCGCATGTCTTAAATAGAGCCCACTTAGCAAAGTCAACAGCCACCCAGGTAAGCTTCGCTTTAGGCCTGTAAAGTAGTAAAAGTGACCCACACACATAGTTTTAGGGGGTTTCTCAAGAGCTTAACAAGGTCTAGACAATCCTGGCTTCTTATAACTATATGAATCCTGTATTTCACAATGTGCTTTCATTTCGTTCTTCCGCTTTTAATAACGTCTTTCAGTGTGCTGAGCTCCAAATCTGTGCTGAGCTGTGTGTTGCACTACAGTGTGTTCTTAAACCCACATTTTATCACATAATTAGTTGGCCACAACTAATGTTTGCTGGTTATGCACAACATGGATGACCTCTTCTGAAAGACCGCCCGTGGATCACAGACACAGGGGGGCTGTATCACTTCTAGTCTGCATGTGGGTGTTAACATGGAAATTAAGGAAGGAAGACTGATAAGAACTGTTGAAAACGCAGCAAATGAGACTAATGGCCAGGCACAGATGAAATCTGCACTGATTTTGGGGGCAAAACTGGCAGAATTGTGGATTGATAAAATGTGGTAAAATGTGTTAAATGGAACTCAGAGTAATGCACTTTTGTTACCACATTTACAATTAGTCATTTAGCAGCAGCTTTCATCCAAAATGACTCAAAAAATGTTAGCTGAGAGCAGTATCAAATTAGCCCAGTCATGATGAAACTGACACAGACTTATTTCCATTCTCAGCGCATGTACCTGGTCTTCATGCGCACAATTCATTGGTGCATGTTATTCCAACCATCAAAATGTAAAAACTTGCTTTGCCTTTGAAAACAATCTTAGCTGTCTAATATTTCTCTGTCATTTATAGACCACCACCATCCGATCAATTCCCCATATATCAAATCCCTCTCTACTGTTTATATTTTTATATATCCTGATTCACAGCAATACATTTTTACAGAAGTGTTTCGGCATTACATTGTTGACTTTAAAGCTGCATTTTTTTAAATGAACAAAAATCAATTATTAAGAAATGCTTAAAAAAAAAAAAATCAGTGTTCAATCTTTCCTTGAATTTCCCCAGTGGTACCTTTATAATAATGACGCGTCAGATTTTGCGGTAAATATCAATTCCGTGTCTTTCCTTTTTGCGTCACATCTATAAACAAAGAGAAGGAGGTCCGGTTATTGCAATTTTACCTCTGTCATGTGGTGTATTTTTGAGAAAAATGAATATTTAACAAAATAATGAGGGTACTTGATTGTATCAATCGTGAATTGGAAAGTGGTCACTTAGATGGATGTGACTTCAGCCGAAAAAGAAAAGGCGAAATAAGTTATTACATTTTGATGCAAGATTACGAAGACAAAACTTTATATTAAGTGGCCTTAACTACTATGTATTTACATTTAAATTAATCATTTGGTACAATGCAATGTGTACATACATGTTTTTACATTGTACTTATATATTAAAAATACCTGCATGTAATTACATCTGTAATTCATTTCTGCAATTACATTTATAATTACACTGTTGACCCATCCCTGACACCTTAACCCACCCTTAAACCTACCCATACCAACAAACCTGTCCCTATCCTTACCCATATCCCACCTCAATAAGAGTGAAAAATTTAAGGGGGTCTGAATACTTTCCGTACCCACTGTAAAATGGGACCAAACAAAAAAAAAAAACGCATCCTGATAAAATGTTGGAATGTGTATTGATAAAGTAAAGAGTCCTTTTTGATTTCAGGTTGACTTTAAAGCAGTTTTATGTATGCAGGCCAAAAAGGGTGTAGTTATAATACTTGTCCTTAAACACTACATTTTTCTGATACTTGCACATGGTCCTTTCTTACATTCAGAAATTTGTTTTTTTGCTTTATTTTTTTAAATTTTAATTAACAAAATGGGTTTTGTTGTTCTTCTCCCTTAGCCTGTGGGCAGATCCCCTCGTTCTCTGAACTAAACTTTTTTGGACAGTGATTATCTGACAAGGAGTGAACGTTTTAATTTCAGTTAAACAGACACGCTGAAGTTGATGATCGTGAGGTCAGGAGATAAGCTTCTTTCAGGGAATGTCCTCTTAGCTTCAGTGTTAGCTGTGAAGTCTTGATGCTATCTCTGCGTCTCACGCCATAGCCGTCAGACATGCCCCCATAGCCGCCGGTTCCTGCGATCAGTTCTCAGGAATGTGCCGTTCTCTGCAGGTAGCTGCTCTCTTTGACTGAAGCATCTCGTGTTATCAGGGATCATATTGAATAAGGAATAAATAAGGATCTCGGAACAATAAAACTTGCCGTGTTGTTGCCGCTGGGCTGTGAATTTGTCAGATAAGAAGGCGTTTGTTAAACCGATGTGAGATGATAACCATAAACCCAAAATCTGATTACATGATAAATCACTT